GGAAAGTGTTTAGCAACCCTAGGTGTCCTTAAATGAATTGGTGTTCCCTGTGTTTTATCTTTGTGAAACCTCACCTCAATTTTTTGGCAGCTCTCCTGAAGAATGACATCCAAGGTGTGGCAATTTCCCTTTTGGGGTTTTCTTCTTGCATGGGCACAGCTTGGAGAGAGCGTAACTGCAGTCAGAGAACTGTGGTGGGCACATAGCGGTAGGTGCATGGGGGAGCTCCTTTGCTGTGGGCTTGGAATAACGTACTGGATGTGTCTGTCTCCATGCTGAATATGCTCTTCAGGCTTAGGAGAATGCTCTTCAGGCTTAAGAGAAACTGTATACTGGGAACTGTGGGTTCACTATCTGCAAAAATGGTGTGAAGCCCTTGTGTGAGAGTGAGAAAAGAAGGAAAACCTTTTTTTTTGTTTTTGCACAAAATCCTGTCAAGAGGGTTCTCTTATTGCATCCCTCTCCTGGTGCTTGAGGAACACAGCCTTTCCGTGCAGGAGAGGCAGAACAACCTTTGTATTGTCACCTCTGTGGTAGATACGATGTGGAGTCTGAAGTGTGACGTGTTACAAGTCAGCTCCTGCTGTCTGCCCAGATTCCTGCCCTTACTGCTAAGGCTTAGAAATGTGCCCGTCACTAATAGTGGTGGATGGAGCAATCTTCTTGTCAAACTACTCAATCAGTGCAGTGATGCTTTTCATGTGCTGCTTTTCCATTTCACTTTAAATGTCTTATGATGGAGCTTCTGTCAGTCCCATTGGGAATTATTTCATAGTCTGATGCACCCAGGAACACAAAGCGCTACATAATTATGCAGTTTAAATTCTTCCTTTATTTGGCTTCCCCCTTTCATTTACCCATCTTTCACATGCCTAGACTTCTGACATTTCACTTCTTTTCAAACCTTCACCCATGCAATCATTCTTACCAATTCTTAATTTTGTGCTTGTACTGTATATTGATTGATGCCTTTTGAGCACATTGCCTCCCTGACCTGAGTGTTCTTTGCAGCTGATAGACTGCAGCATTCAGAAGTGTACCTGTCTTACACCTCACTCAAATAACTTATATGAGAAATATGTACTATTTTGATACATTGTGATAAGATTTGTGCCTACCATTTATCATCTTCTAATTTGATGATGACGATATAAAGCAATGAAACAGAAAATGATGGGGGACTATGTTCATATTAAAGTGTTTTGTTCCAACCATCTTTCCCTGACCTGTGAGATTTTGTTTGTTTGTTTAGATCTGCTAGAGAAGTCTCGTGTGGTGAAGCAGCCAAGAGGAGAAAGAAACTTTCACATTTTCTACCAGATACTGTCGGGTGCCTCGGAAGACTTCCTCTGTAAGTGTGGGCCCTGTGCCATCTTCAGATGAGAATTGTCTTCATATGTAATGTGCTGTCCCACACGCATCTTCTTTGGTGGGAACTGTGATATTGATTAGTTTTTCAAATTACTGGTGGTAGTGGAAATAGTAATACCTGAAGCAAATATATGGTTTGTTATCCAGGTATCCTAAGTCAGAATTAGCTTTGCCATGTATTAGAAACAAAGAAAAAGACTCATTCAGAAGGCTTGTAACTAAAAGATACTTAAAGAAACTTAATCCTACTAGTAACAACAGTTCTTGACAATACTGGTTCTGGGATAACAGAGCTGCTACCAAGAATGCTGTTACTAATGCTGCTTTTATTTGATTTATTAGGCAAACTCAAACTGGAGCGGGACTTCAGCAGGTACAACTACCTGGGCCTAGATTCTGCCAAAGTGAACGGTGTGGATGATGCTGCAAACTTCAGAACAGTTAGGGTAAGGAGTACAGGGGTTGGGTGTAAACAGCAAAAGGGCTCACCGGTAACGCAGAGTTCTTACGCTGTCAGTCTGGCTGTTCAGCTGGGTTGGGAGGGCCCTCTTTTCTATGCCATTTCAAGAGTGCTAGGCACTCTTCCTGCAAGGATATGGCATGGTTGCGCAGGGAAGCTTAGATCCAACTGGAAAATATGAAGAAACAAGTTTCTGGAGTATTCTAGTGGGAATACAAAAAAAAGAAAGAGGAAGGGAGGGAAAAAAAAAGCCCAGACCCCTTGATCAGATCATGGAAAAGGTTATGTTGTGTACTTGCTTATGAGGACAGTGACTGAGCTTCATGAACCAGGTGATCCTGACCACGTCAAAAGGAAAACAAGGCTGGGATGGTCCTCAAGATGATTTACCACAAAGTTTTTGCTTGAATTGTACTCAGGGACAAAAAGAATACAGTACCCTGTTACCCAGTGTATGCAAATTTAAATTCTAGAAGTTACTGGCTTTTAGAACAACAGAGTGGATTGAGAAAACAGCAGTACCTCTTCATTTGCCTGTGGAAAATTGGGTTGGGTTATAAACTGAATGAAGTGTCTAAAAAAAAAAAAGTACTGCACTTTAGAAACCCACAGACTGAATGAATCCTAGAAGTGGACTGGACTGACATGCCAGCCTGACTACCAGATCTTCTTTAACCTGTCTTTTCTATTAAAAACTTACTTACCAAAGCATAGTAATTATATTCTTTTTGTAGAAAAAGTGTTCATAAAACATTTCTAATTTATGCTAATACAGGTAAATGGTGAATCTTGCAAGTATGATCTGTTTAAATGGAGATTCTTTTATCTCATAATTTTATCTGTCCCCTTTACAGAATGCAATGCAGATTGTTGGTTTTATGGATCATGAAACACAGTCTGTTTTTGAAGTGGTGGCAGCCGTTCTGAAATTGGGGAATATTGAATTCAAGCCTGAATCTCGTGTGAATGGCTTAGATGAAAGTAAAATCAAAGATAAAAATGGTAAGATGAGATTAGTGACGGGGGGAAAGATACCAATTTGTCTGAAGTCATTATTAATTTTGTAGTTTCTGTAGACATACAATAGCCGTACAGATGAATTAAATTAGATTGTTTCCAAAACTTGCCTGCAGGCAAATATGGGTTGAATTCTGTGCAATTTCAGTCGCTCTGTTTGAAATTCAAAAAATTCTTTTATTTTTTCGCACTTTATTAACACTTCCTTTTGAAATGGTAAATGGTGCTGTGCATTTCTGTAACTGCTTGGTTATTCTGCAGCAGAGGCTTTTAGTTCTTTTGTCGCAGGGTATTTCTGTCTGTAATATCAGATTAATTTAGTCATGTTTTTGTAGTTGATACGTTTTGAATGTTCATTTATTTTCATTTGTAAGTTTTTCATCATGAAAAGTAGTCTGTGATAAATGGGAGAAAGATTCCTTCACAAAACTAACCAAACAGAAGGTGCTTTCAAAACTCTTAACTCTGTTCCCTCATGCTGTGCATATGTTTAAAAACTTTCTTGGCAGGGTAGCGGGGAGGGAGTGTGGGTGGGGGGGACACCTATGCTGAAGAAAACATGTTTTGAGGAAATACTGAACTACTTAAAAGCTAATAGTTTGGGGGAAGAAGAGGGAATGACGCGGAAGGATTCAGTATATTTACACTGTCCTTTTTCATGCCAGAACTCAAGGAAATCTGTGAGTTGACAGGAATAGACCAGTCCGTGTTGGAAAGAGCTTTCAGCTTCCGGACGGTTGAAGCCAAGCAAGAGAAAGTTTCAACAACACTAAATGTGGCTCAGGTAGAGAGAGATCCTGTTTTTAAGATAAAGAATCATTTAAAATGGCGGTTTATTCTACATGACTAAACCATAACTGCCCAAATAAAAACTACAGTAGTCTGTACTGCATAAAACATATCACCTTTTTCTTCAGCAGTTTCCAAGTGTTCAAATGTACCGGACGTCTTGTTTTTATGTTTGAATTACCTGAAAAAGATGAGTGATAGGAAATTGTTGCAGAGAATGAAACAGTGAAACAGTTCTGCACAGAACGCATGTTCAAAGTATTGCGGGAGGCTGTTTTTGTTTAGGGCAAGTGGTGTGATTTCGTGTGAGTTGTACGCCCCGGGCTGCTGAAAAACGTCTGCTGGCAGTTTTGTCTTGGTGTAACGCTGCAGAGCCAGTGTGATTGCCACCTGTGTCTCATCAGCTCAGCCTAGCAAGGATGTGGGTTCCCCGACCGCAGCTGCTCCAGCCCCTTTGTTTTGGATTAGGATGGGGGATGTGAGTCTTTAGGGGATATCCGGATGAACAGGAAGGCAGTTGGAGTGCTCTGATTGTGGCTGCTGTTCCAGCCATCCCTCAGCCTGGAAGGCCAGAGGGATGCCCAAGCAAGGCACTGTAGCTGCCAAAGTGTCCTGGCACCCCTGCTTTGGCTCCATTGCCTGCCTAGGCAGAAGTACTGCTGCCCGAGTCATTCCTGCGCTGTTCATAGCACCTTTAAGATCCAGCAGTAACATAGAAAGTTTTGGATTAGCCCAGCATTTATAACATTTTTCTTCTTTTTTCTGTTCAGGCATATTATGCCCGTGATGCTCTGGCAAAGAACTTGTACAGTCGACTGTTTACTTGGCTTGTTACCAGAATCAATGAGAGCATTAAGGTATTGTAGTTTTTTTCCTGTCAAAAAATCAATAGAAATCCTTTCAACTAAAGTGGGCAGTAAAACTGTATTTGCCAACTTCATTTTTCATGGTTGTACAGTGTTACACATGGTACAGGTGAAGAACTGTATCGCACCTCAACAAATTGCTGTCTGCTCTGGTTTTTAAGCTTATGAAAATAGGTGTGTTAAGTGTATTCTGGGAAACCATATGTAACAGCTTACAGAATTTGACAGCCTACTTATGACATACATTAGTTTTCTTGATTCCCATGTATGAAATGTACAGAGGACTGACACAGTGTTTAATTTTTTTTGAAGGCACAAACAAAAGTGAGAAAGAAGGTAATGGGGGTGCTGGACATCTATGGCTTTGAAATTTTTGAGGTAAGACCTTTATAATGGTAAACATTTAATGTGAGAGCTGTTATTCAAGCTTAATAGAGTAGTTCATGTGGGTGTAATCAGAATACATGTAATTTGAATCAAGTGTGTCATTCCTGAGAAAAAAACCCAAAACACTAGAAAAGTAAGGCAAACAGACATGTCTTAGCATGCCTGGCAAATGAAACAAAAATCTACAAAAACCCAAATTGTATTTTTACACCATAGGTAAATAAATATTTATGATGGGTCGACTAAATGTATTTTGGTGTGAGGTACATTCTGAACATACGAGAAACTGACAGTGTCAGTTCTGCCCAGAGGCATTTTGTGGCTGCCTTTGGACGAGCTTTGTATCCATTAAAAAACACACCAAAAACTATACATATTTTTTCCTGTCAAAATTGGACAAGGAATTATATTCTGTTTCATCTCTGTTCACGTAGATAAATGTTCTGTACTGATTCCTGGCTAATGATCTGTGGCTCGCTGCTGTTTGTTTATGGTAGTATTTTTAGACTGGTGGTATTCTGAAACAAAAACAATAACGAGGAATTTTTAATTGGGTTAGAGAACACCACAGAGAGGGAGTTTTCATAAATCTTACTCTGACAGTTTATGTTAAGAGATTCATAGATCTTGGTTGGAAACTGTATATAGTGTTTAATCTAGAAACTCAGTTGGGGAGAAAAATCAGTACAAAGCTTGCAATCTTCACCCACTTCCCTACATCCTTCTTGAAAATCCAGGGAGCGGGTTTAAACTGTGTAGAAGATGGAATAATCTAGACGAATAATTACATGTTGGAGGGTGGTGTAAGTTTTATTTCAGAAGCATAACTTCAAAGTACGTTCAAGTGAAAATACCCTTATGAAGAGGAAAAACAAAGCTGATACTTGCTTCAAGGTTTTACTAAGTTAAGTTGCATTGTTTGCATTAGACACGAGCATATTTATGAAAATACACTGCAAGAGGTCAGGTGGCCAAATGCAGATCTCAGTGCCAGATCTCCCTGGAGGTGGTCCTTGAGAACCTTTAGAAAGCTGGGCACTGGAATGGTACTGCTGGCATCTTCGGGCAGGATGCCTGTTTTCACTAGCTCTTTCTTTTATGTCTGATAAAGGATAAACATGGGGGGTGAGGTGGGACATGGAAGCTGGCAGTAGTACACGTGCCAACTGAGTAATTGTGTTTATGGGATGGTGTTATTGTTCAATCCTTTAACTGCTGTGTATTGGTTCTACTGGAGAAGGTGGGAAAGGTTTGCCTTGTGACTTAAGAGGATCAAATTCATCAGTACATTCACACAAGACAGGCCTGTTCCTCTCGTGAGTTAAGACCTGTGGTGAGAGCACTAGCCAAGCAGCTTGGTTCAGCGTCACAGAAGTAAATGGAATTATTTCTGAACAGTCAAAACGGAATTCGGGTAGTAGGCCAGAAGCATACATGGCTTGTATTATACCATGTTTTAATTTAAAGACATTTGGAAAAGAAACTAGGTTGGCTTAGGTTTCTAGAGGTAACTAGTACAGTCACTGGTGTTGGGGCTGCCTGGCAGTACTGTAATTCAAAGGGTGAATGGTAGAAAAACAATCCATTAGAAAATCCTGGATCAGCTGCTTTTCCAGTACCGCCCACTTAGCCATCCCTGTATTTCCAGACAGGTTAATTTTATAGTCAGAAACCGCTGACTTATTCTCAATTGAATCAAAAGCAAAGATATTCTTTCAAGGCAAAAAAAATGTATTTCATATACAGCTGTAGTTGGAAGAGAAGTTGATGTTATGTCATAGTCCTTAAATTGAGTAAAATAAATCAGTAATGAACACTACAGACAAAGTGTAACTGGTCTTGTTGCTTGAATGAGTATCACGTAGTAAGGTCAATTAGGACGATGCCTGCCAAATATTTTTGTGTTGAGTTTTGTAACGAATGACTGAATCTTACAAAAATTATTAAGGATCTTGAGAAAATGCTTACAAAAAGCAATTATTGTGGAGAATTTAAGTAACCACTGCACAGAAAATATTTTGTTTAAAATTAATTATATTAAACAAATCAATGAATGACTGAAATGTTAATGCTGTACAATACAGTAACTCCAGGAAAATTCAATAATGTCTTAAGATTTATAGCATGAAAAATATAGTGGAATTTGGAGTACTTTGTAAACACAATGAATAACATTTAAAATATTAGCTGAGGTGTAGCTCATGGCAGTAAGTATGTCCATCTAATTATAAGCTACTTAAAACCACTCACTAAAAATATGCAGTTCCCTTTTGAATCTAAACTTAAGTCAGATTTTGATTTTCATGTCTGTTCTTGAAGGTTATAACTAAAATGATCTCTACAAATAATGTTTTTTGGCAAAAAAAAGTATTAAAAGACTTCTTTATTTGCGAGCTTGTGCATTTTAAACTTGTATGCTATTTGATATGCTGAAGGTAAACCATGTTTCTACTCAGGAAGCAGAGAGGTTTATCATTAGTGCGTGTTCTTTGACCCAAAGTCTCCTTGTAACTTGGAGATAGAATATATCAAAAAAGAAGGTCCAGTAGGATTTTTATATATATATGCTAAATATTTACACATGAAGCTTAATGCCATTGAAATAAGTAGCAAGGTGGGTGTTTACTGAAGGGTGTTTTGGTTTGAGTTTCGGGTTTTTCTTTTTCCTTTGATATGAAACTTACCCCTCAGGATCACTGAAAGAATAAACTAATCATATTCTAGTTTACCTGTTTTGGCCTGAAGTTCTCACTTAAAAGTTGGAATACATTATGGACTAGTCTGCTTCAACTGCAAGAATGTTAGTGTGCTACAGATTTTTGAGGGTTTTGTTTTGTTTCATGATGGTCAGGGAAAACAATATTTCTTGGGCCATATTCCTGTTTAGGGTAATTCCTTCCATCATCCTACAATTCCTAATATAAGAAGAATAAAGGAATGCAGATCTACCATTCTGAAAGATCCTACACTTCACATTCTGATGATAATGCACAAATGGAAGTTTACATAAATGAGATTATTTTTTACCCTATTTTTGAAAGATTATGTTTTATTTACTGTCCACTGCAATTTCTACGGTTTTCTGTGATTTAAGATGAAGTGAACTGAAAAAGTAACCTGAGGTTTCTTGAAAATTAACAAAGGAAAGATACTGGCCTGTTGAGAATGCTGGCATATACTCCGGGATTTGGTTTCTGCTAGTATTTTCGTCAAGCACAAACCCTAACTATCCAAGAAAGCAGATTTAAGGACTTGGCTGTCCAGAAATTCAGATTAGAGAATTTAAATCTATCGATAATCCTCAGTCTCTGTGGGTTTGGCAGATGTCAACGGCAAACTTGGCTAAACAATCCACAAAATAGGTGCTGTAAAGCTGTGTTTAATTTGAATCCTGCCATGTCCTTTGTGGTAAGCTGTATGCTGGGACTGAATGCTTTCAAAGCGAAATGCTGAGATTTTGGGTGTCTCTGTGTGAATTGTCTATGGGCACAGATTTAGGGACTAGGTTTAGTATGAAAATGCAGGCTACAGGGCCAGGTTGGTTGTGTAACACTGCTGGAGCTGGAGCAATGTGTTGAAGCCTGACACTAATTGCTCCAAGTAAGTTTGTCTACATTTTTGAGCAGCTGTATGCGTAGTTGATCTGCACTCTAGACTGTGATCTGAGATGGGGCAGGGATCATGGTGGGCGGCACCGGGAAATTCAGAACGAGCTCGGTTGCAGACTTCTGGGGGTAGGTTTCAGGCTAATCCCATTTGATTCCACATTTAATTCTGTATTTCTGGGCAGAAGTGGGTTTCTTCATCTCTGCAAAATGCTAGGGTAGGGTTGTGGAAGGGGTTTATTGAAAAGAAAAGAAATGAAGGCTGTAGAAGACAGATGACAGGGCGTGGCAGGTTTCAACACAGATGGGCAGAAGACTCACTCTGGTTTGAACATTTAAATTTGTCATGTACATTTCCTGTGTAGACAAGGGCTAGGGTAAGTAAAAACGAATGTCATGCAGCAAGTGTGAGTACTTCATCCTGCCTAGCCTTCAGAGATAAAACTGTCTGTCTGCGGTAGTTGGCTTAAAGGCTTTATTCTGAATTTTCAGGCGCCGCTATGTAGCTAGTCCATACAATGAAGCTAATGATTTGGAGTGCAGTTTTATTAAAGTTAAGGCTGCCAAACAAGGGTTATTCTTGAAATTTGCCAGGCCCTCGGAAGACAGTTTAGGAGTGTGAATGCTTTCTGCTCAATCCCTTGGCGGAGCAGATTGTTCCATGTATTTTAGCCTGATGAGAAGCAGGGGTGCGCCGGGGGTAGAGCTGCAAAAGTGAAGGCTGCAGAAAGAGAGGGATGGGTGACCTGAGGTGATGCAAATGCTGTCTTTGCGGACAGCATCTGACCAACTCCTTTTGCTCCAGGTACACAAGAACATGCAAAGACATGGCAGCATCCATCCCTCCCATTCTGCATAAAACCCAGCAGTAAATAAAAATACCACCAACAAAGAGCCAAACCAACCACCCAGCAGTACAACCAGGTCCATCTCTCACAGTCTGTGGTGCATTTTGATAGTGCTTCTATTTATTTATGGCAATTAGCTTTTTTCTTGTGTGTAGAAGTGGTGATGGAAAGAAGCTTGGCCATATTGCATGTACTATGTAAACTGACATCTGGTCATTGGTAAAATGCCAGTATCTTTATTGAGGAAATACATGAGAAATATGAAGAGTGCAGTTTCATTATATTAACGTGTTCATAGTTGTGGTAATTATCTATTTGTAGAGGGAGGTAAGCAAATAAGGGGGGGGTAAACATTGAAAATACCTTTCTGAGATGTTTAAGGCATGAAAAAATGGGAGGTATTTCCATTTTTACCATAAACCTGTACGACATCTTAGTCCAGTTTTTTTGCCTTTTTCTATTCTGTTCTTTGCACAAATGAAATTACAGTTGCAGAGTATGCTGAGCTCTGAAAGATTGCTGCCAGCCCAGGGACCTA